TAAATAATTCTTTTTTTTTTAAAAAAAAAGAAAAAGACAAATGACTTCTTGGTATCATTTTGAAAACAGTTTTGACCTTGCAGGCCCCCTGACATGGTCTCGGTAAACTCCTCTTGTTTCCCCACCTCCAAGTGTACCCAGACCACAGGTTAAGGATCACTGACTTTATAGGACCAGCAGATGGCGTAATGGTTACATCGCTGATCTCCCACATAGTCAACCGCAGTTCGAGTCCCGGATCTGGCAGCTTGAACTCAAGCAGGGTGCGTGAGAGGAGAATGGAGGAGAAGGGATGTGGTGTGGTCATCTCCCCGGAGGGGGGCTGATTTCTCACTTTCTGTCTCTCTGTTTCTCTCTGTCTCTCTCCTTGCACACACACCATATAGCAAAAATCTCTCTCTTTTTCTCTCTCTCTTAAACACACACACACACACACAAAGGGTCACTGACTTTAGTTCACACAGTCCTGTGCAAGGAGGCCTGGTCGCTCAGCCTGGCCTTGCTCGCTGAGAAGGAGAAACCGGTCCTAACAGAGCAAGTGTGCTGGACACAAAGAGCATCACCTGACCGGCATGTGTGTGGGAGTGGGAACTGGGAAAGGCGGTAAAGGGAGATGTGGAAATGGAGAGATGGTTGCCGCAACAACTGATGAATGAACTTGGCTCGACAGAGAACCAAGAGCAGTTGAATAACTTCAGAAAGGCAGTGCCCGGGGAACCTTCTTTGCTATAGGGGCGGGTGGTATGAGTGCAAATACTCATTTCAGAAAAGAGGGTGCGCCCTATCAAACTAGGGAGACCTTGCAGGTGATGAGGACAGCCGTGAGAAAGGAGGCCATGTTCCTTCTGCCATGCCCTTTGTTTTCTTCTGTGCTGATGAACAGCTGGGAAAAGCTACAAATTCCACTTGCCATTCTTTGAATTTCCCTGGAAGTTCTCCAGGTGGAAGAACCCAGTGCGAGAAGAGTTGGAAGAGGGGTGGAGGGTGGGAATGATGAGAACCCCCTGGGGGGAGATGCTCCGAGTTTGAAAGGCAGCTGCTTCTTTTTCTTTCTTTGTTTGTTTCATAGGTGCATGTGCTTGCTGGGAAGAGACAGGGAGAGACGATGAGAGGTAAAGTGAGAGATTCTTTCTCCTCTGCTCCCCTCCTGGGATTCTGGACTTGCACACACACGTGCCCAGTGTGATTCTCAAGCCACCAGGTCCAGGACTTGAACCACGGTCGGCCATGTGGGAGTATTGTGTCCTACCACTGTGCCACCTGCTGGCCCCGAAAGGCAGCTTCTTGAGTAGAGTCTTTAGACATATTTCACCACACATTGAGTGGGAGGTGACAGGGCTGCGCTGGTGGAGCTCTCGTCTGGGCATAGGAGCTGAAGAGGTGCTGGGGGGGAGGGAGAGAGGAATAAATGAACAAGCAAAGGAATGTAGTGACAAGACAAGCAAAGTACAGTGAAGGCTGGGCAGATGGCCACAAGGGAACGCTAAGAAACTGGCCAGGACAGAGTGGCCAGGTGCACCTGATGGCATGTAGGGCCTGTCAACCACGTGAACCAGAACCGCGCTTTGAGAGCTCGGATCATATTGTGTTTGCAGTAATAATTTCTCTCCATTGAAATGAAGTGCCTTTTGATCATTTCGGTCTGGCTCAGCTGAGGTTAGGAAAGGAAAAGAAAAAAGCAGCAACAGCACTGCTTATTATAATGTGTCCTCCCTCATCCTTCCGTCAGAGGTGAAAGGAGCGGGATATCTGAGAAGGGTGGCACTTAGTGGGAGTAAGGGCAGGTAGGCAGTACGGCCCACAGAGTGGCTTATAACAGGACACATTTTTTTTGGAGAGGTTTTTGCTATAGGGTGCGTGTGCTCGCTAGAGAGAGAGAGAGAGAGAGACAGAGAGACAGAAAGCAAAAAATCACCTCCCGGGGGGATGGCCACGCCATAATCCCTTTTCCTCCATTCTCCTCTCGGGATCTTGGGCACGCACGCGCACACACCCAGTGTGAGTTTAATTCACCAGGTCTAGGACTCGAACTGTGGTCTACTACGTGGTAGTACAGCGACATAGCCATTACGCTAACTGCTGGTCCCAGAACAGGACACATTTGTGATCTAGTTCTGTGGTTCAGAGTCCTAGGGGACTGACAAGGTGTCGGCAGGGCTGCATTCCTTCCGGAGGCTCCAGGGAAGAGTAGATGCCTTGTCCTCTGCAGCCTCAAGCAACTCTCCGCCGGGAGGGAGCAGGAGGCTCTTGGGCCCTCAATCTGCAGAACCAGCCATGTGGTATCTCCCCAAGCCTTCTTCTACTCAGATCTCCTCCGACTCTCGACTGCTCCCTCTCTCATTTTTAAAAAAGAATTATTTTATTTTATCTTATTTATTATTATTATTTAATTTGAAGAGAGAGAGAGAGGGAAAGTGAGAAATCAAGCCAACGGGTCCGGGACTTGAACGATAGTCAACTATGTGGAAATCCCGCACCTTAACCACTATGCCACCTGCTGGCCTCTCCCTGAGCTTTCTTATCTATGACTGGGTTGAAGTTGATGGTCCCTAGTCTGACCTTCAAAATAAGCACAGCTTTGCAGACGATGTTCCAAAGCCTGATGTCCCATTGCCGGGGGCATCTTTGCTGAACCCCAAAGCCACTGTATTCCTGTTGATAGTCACTAGTTTCCTGGTTAAGTTTACTAGGAAACTTAACATATGCTGCTAGTGCTCATGGGGTCTGTTCCGTGGGTGTCACTCATGTACTCTGTGGATGTACGATGCCCTGCTGACGGTGCTGTAGCTGGTCCATGTGGAACGGTCTGACACCCGGCACAGAATGTTACTGTTAAATGCTTTGCAAGTGCACTTAACTCATAACACTAACAGCTCTCTCTTTTTTTAGAGAGTTGTTTTGTTTTATTTTTGTTTTTGTTTTTGTTTTGCTATGGGGTGCATGTGCCCGCCAGAGAGAGTTAGAGGGACAGAAGGTGAGAAATCACTACCCGGAGGATGGCCACACCACAATCCCTTCTTCTCCATTCTCCTCTCAGGATTTTGGGCACACATGCACACGGCCTAGCATGAGTTTTGAAGCCACCGGGTCCGGGACTTGAACCACGGTCAGCCATGTAGGAGTCCAGTGAAGTAACCATTAGGTTATCTGCTGGTCCCCAATAACACTAGAATGTTTTGTGCTTATACAGCACTTTACAGTTTTCATCTCAAGTGCTTTCATGTCTGTTGCTTCCTGGGTTGCTCTATGATGGTGCTCTGAGATTAACATAGACCTCTTTAAAATGGGTGTATTTGTACGGTTAACTGAGTGACCGGTCCTGCCGTCATTTCCCACAGACGTTTTATATGCATCCTTGATCAGTGATGACAGAGGTGCCAAGTAATTTGTTGGAAAATTGACCTCAAGCGCTTGAGTGGAACACAGACTTATTCACTCATGTGCTGGGTATGTGGCAACAAAGTGATCGGACAGCTTTTATATTTCAAATTGGACATCGTCTTAATGAGGCATCTTATACTCCCTTTTATCTTTCCTTGTGAAAGGAAACGCATTCATGGAATGCTCTCAGGCTCTTTTTATAATCATACTTGATTCTTCAGACGATTTTCCTGCCACCTTATACTTTTGATATATGGTATTCACACCACATCTTTCTAACTATTTATCCAAATGTAGATAGAATGATCTATCTGCAAAATCCCAAGTTACAATACTCAAACACGCATAAACACAGCACCGAAATTGTAGCTGTCTATACTAGCCTTCCAGTGCAGAATGGTTCTCTCAACTATTTGAGAAAGTAGTACTTTTTTTCACAGATCATTCAAATAGCTCATTTGTCCTTCTGTCTTTTAGAGTAAGTTCATTTGCATAAAGCAAAAGAGACTCTTAGATGAATGGCAAACTCATTGAATTTCAACATCACCTAGTGTTTAAACCCCGACATCAAAAAGCAAAGAGCCAATTATCAGAGTTCATTTAGTCTGAAACCCTATTGCCTGCTCTAGTTTTCCTTATGCTGAAAAAGAAAGCCATGCCACATCTTAAAGACGTGGTATATAAAAGCACTTTATCTATAGCAGTTTAACTTGAAATGTGTGTTTGGGCTCACTAACCACAAGGAGGCATTGAAGCATCTCTTCAAAATGTGAAAAGTAATTTTCTTAAAAAAAAAAAAAAGTTGCATCGACATTGGCTTAATTTCATGTAAGCCATTCCACCTGCTTGTGAGTATGTGTGTCTTTTAAATTCATGTTTTGATCCACTTTTCTCTTTCTTTCTTTTCCTTTTTTTTTTTTTTTTTTGGAAAATCCTGAACTATGAACAGGAAGTATAGCCGCCGCTGTTCCTTTTGCAGAAGGACTTGGCACGACAGTCATCACACATTTTCCTTCTGCTCCTTTTCCAGGGGAAACGGAGGCAAGCCGCAGGACTTCTGTTACTGCTGACAAAGCGACCACATTAACCTTTCTTGCTTGCCCTTTGATGGTTAAAAGTTCTTTTGACTGTGAGCCGAAGCCTCTTTCTTTAGTACTAGAATTACTTAAATACGTATTTCTGACAGCCACAGGTTTATCTGAATTCAGCGTGTCAACTTAGAATGATTCTGGGAGACATCTTCAAAATGCCACATAGAAAAGATAAAAGGCCTAAAACAAGTTGTTTTCTTAGGCCGAGCAGAAATTTTTTATATGCCATATTACAGAGTTACATTAAATGTCAGAAGTGTTCTCCATGCTTTTGAAATCCCGCTCCATTGATAGGGGAGAAATATGGAGCTCTCCGTTGCAGGAAGTACTGCTTGGCACATCTTCTAGAATAATGCTTAATCTCCTGAGAAGCAGGGCCTCCTCCTTCGGAGTCATATGGTTTCTGTAAGATGCTTCAGAGAAAATTCCTCCCTGGAAGTGGGGACTGCGACATGTTGTGACGTCCTCGTGCCATTGTGCTGTACCGACTTGCTCTTTTTGGGTCCTGACATCTTGTTTACCTTCTAGGCTATCCGCAGCCCGTGCGCCAGCGCATTGTTGATTTCGACACCCTGCAGAACATGCAGCTCGGGAGGCTGTGCGACATCTTAGGTACGGCACGGCGTGTGTCATGAATGGCTCTTGGAATGTTTTTCAGGGGATGTTAATATAATGTTTACTTTTTGATGAGTTTTTTTTTTTCCTCTATGAGGAAAAAGCTCATATTTTTTAATATACTTGCAGGGCAATCTCATGTTTTGTTTTAAAGAACAGATTTATAATGTCAACTTAAATAAAAAATGACACTTTGACTTATTTACTTGGGCAATTTTCTGATTCTTTTTGCTGCAGGTTTAGGTAGAGATTTTCCTCCTATATACCGAAATCTCCCTTATTTACAGAATTTTGCAGCCAATGAGGTCAAAATGTTACATTTTTGTTAGTATTGTCCGTTATGTTAGATGGAGAATGAGTGGAAAGTGGTATTAGAAATGAAGCTTTATGTTTTTGCTGTAAGAACAAGAGGAAAATGAAGATGAGTTTTGAAAGAAGCTTTCATCTAAGCACAGAAGATGTATCTGGGTTTTAGAAGATACAAGATGACCAGTGGAGGGGATTCTTAGAAATACAGACCTTGAGTGAGTAACAGATCCATCTTTGTAAAAGTCAAGGTCAGATGCTGGGTTGGTCAGTTCTCAGGCGAATGCTGATGGGGTCTAGACGGATGCAAATATGATGTCTGGTTGCTATTGCTGAAGGCCAGGGCTCCAGTTAGGCCTAGCGAATACAAGTTACGGAGGCTACACAATCATGTCGATTCTGTTTGTGAGATCCAACATTCAGGGTTAAGTGAAAATTAGATTTTTGTTAGTTATCAAGTAAGAACTTTTTTGTTTTGTTAAAATATAATTGCTTTGGCTTTTATTTAAGCAAAACAAGGAGGAATCTTAAATTATCAATGACCAACTTAGCTGGTTTCCCAGAATGACATACTTTACATGATTCATATATATTTCAGCATCATTATTTTTTAATAAATGCCATTTGGTAACAAAAATATATCAGTGCTAGAAATTTACAGTGTCCTAAAATAATAATAATATAATTGCTTTAATCTATTATCTGGGCACTAATATTGTTTTTCAGCATTACAAAAAAATGTAATGACTTGAGAATGATTAGTTAGTGCTAAGTTATTTCAGCTGAAACCCTGACTGGCTGGGAAGCACTGAAGCGCTGCAGAGGGCAGACTTGGCTTTCGTTTATTCAAATTGATTATTTCCCTCAGCTTTTCATATACTCTTCTATTTATAGCGTGAACTCACACCAAAGGATGTATTTTTAAAAGATTCTCATTCTTGGATAAGATTTAATAGTATTAGACTTCTATTTTAAATAATTCAATAATTCAGTCCGCGTTCCCGTGCAATGGAAAAATTTCCCAGTATGACCACTTCTAAGAGATTGTAGACCAAATGCCTTTTCTTGATACACTATCTTCATAATATAAAAATGTAATCATAAAGCTTCTTCACAAAGAATAACAAAAGTTTAGAAATAGTAGTTAGGTGAAAGAAAAAGTACTTTCTTGTGAAATAAAAATACGAAGAAACTATACAAATTAGTAAAAATTTTGTGGGAAGAATAAGTCATCCTTTTTTTAAAATTCTATTAATTGCTCGTAAAGGATACTGATCTTTCTGCTAATTCAGGGAAGCAAAGACAATCTGATCACGCTGGTAAGACATCATTCGATATTGGCTGTGAGGTCCTGATTGTTGAGTGGAAACAAGTATTTTCAGTTCCTACATGAGTCAAGCAAGAGAGTGACTGACTTTAACTGAGTAGTGATCAAAGCAACTTTCCTCTTCATATAAATCTCTTTCCAAAATTACCTGTCAATTCATTTTGCACCTGTGTAGACGCACAATGAAACCATGCTAACACTGGACATTAGAGTTAGTAGAATGTATTTCTTCACCAGAAATGAATAGGAAAGGTAAATAATGAGCAACATTTGTTTGTTGTTTATAACCTAGAAATTTCTTCTGAGAAAAATGTATTTGTCTTCAGCTTCAGAGTCTATCAGCTACTTGGGCTGTTTGTTTCTGTGTCCTATTCTTTTATGTTAAAAAAAAAAAGAACAATTATTCGGCTTTAAGAACTACAAGTGTTTGGTAAGACATTAGTCTATTCTTCAAAACACAAGACTTGGGATAACTAATTTGATCATTCAGCAATTGTATACTATTTATTTAATTACCATGTCCTCAATTAATTTATTTTGAGGTCTTTGTTGTTTGGTTTCAGAATTAAATGGGAACAACTCTGTAAAATATTTACTTGTGTGGCCCACTGGACTGGCCCCATAGCCTGGTAGTTAAGGGAGCCAGATCCCGCATGACCACCTATGGTTTGAATCCCTGTTACAACATCTTAAAAAACATGCTGGAACATGTGCATGTGTCCAAAATCCCAACAGTGTGGAGAGATGGAGGAGAAGGCATTTGGGCATGACCATGTCCCATTAGGATGGAGGATGCTTTCTCCCTCTCTGTCTTTCTGTGTTTATCTGGGGAGTGCATGTACCCTTTGGCAATTCAAAAAAAAACCAAATGTGTGGGGTACCTGTTTGGAACCCAACACTGGGCAGTTCAGACTTCTCCAGAAGGGGCGATTTCTTGTGCACGCTGTGGGTCTCACCAAGTGCAAAAGACGTTCCACTTTCTGAGTTTCTCCCATCTCCCAGATCCCACAAGTAGCTGCTAAGTGACTCCTGTGCAGCCCTGCTGTGCAAGGCTTGGGAGAATAGAGGAAGAACATAAACCTCACTTTTAAGAAGCTTGGAGAGGCAGGTTAATAGATTTGAAAAAATGGGCTTGAACAACAGAAGACACTGCCTCAGTGTGGTACATGTTGAAGGGGCAATTGACCAGAAGAAGCATAAGTGGTGAGGTCAGGGTGGGCATTACCGCTGGCTGACCTAGACAGGGTGGGCCACGGACTGGATCCATGTCCCCGTGCCACTTCTTAAGCACGTACTGTGTGCCGCTACCGCACTCAGTGCTTAACTGTATTCTTTCATTTAATACTTTCTAAACCTCTATGCCCCGAATAATTTTAAAAGTTTTACTTTTAGGACTAACTGGTAACCTAGCAAATGTATACAATTTATTTAATTACCATGTCCTCAATTAATTTATTTAAGGCTCATCTTGCAGTTTGGTTTCAGAATTACATGGGAGTCACTCTGTAAATATTTACTTACGTGGCTCACTGGGCTGGCCCTTTACTCTGGTAATTAGGGAAGCCAGTTAAGACGCTAGTCTCCCACATGGTGGACCATAGTTTGAGTCCTGGATCTGGTGACCTGAAATTCACGCCGGGCACAAAATCCCAGGAGGAGAATGGAGAAGGGATTGCAGCACGGCCATTCCCCCGGGGGTGGTTTCTCACTTTCCCTCGTACCATCTCTCTCTCTGGCAAGTACACACACCCTGTGGCAAAAAACCTACTGGGTTGTCAGAAACGTCATGGCGTATTTTTCTATGTTTTTTTATTAATGCGAAAACATGTCATGACTTATCCCACAACCCAATAAAAACAAAAACTAAACTAAAAAGTTTCACTTTTATAGATAAAAAAATAATAATAAAACATAAAACAACAGTGCATAGAAAGATTAAAGTGTGCCTAGGGGCCTAGGCAGCCGAACTAGAATCTGGTTGGTCTGTGTTTTGGGCATACTCTGACAAGCTGGACAGAGGCGTTCTAAACTGCCCTTGGCCTTCCCTGCCCCGGGAAGCATTCGCAGCACTCCCTGCTCTGCACGTGCCCGAGCGCCTGTCTGCTGTCGTTGCGCCCACTGCTCTCCACCGCTGTAAGCTGCGTGTGCATGTGAAGCGCCCGCTCCTCAAGGGCAGCATCTCAATCTCTCTGACTGCTGTGTCTCCCTCCACGTCGCGCTAAGCACCTGTTCCTGCCTATCAGTCAGCTATTTTGTGAATGAAGTAATGAATGAATAGCTCCGTGGGTGCAGGTTTCCTCCCTACCGTCCCTAAAATACTCTGCTGCATGGAGTGGGTAATCTCATCGCACCATTCCATTCGGGTGGGTATTTAATTAGGATTTTTTTCTATGTATATAAGAAGAAGCCCATCTTAGCAAGGAGAACAGTTAAACAAAGACCGTGTTTCCTTTACAGCAAGAATCACTAGATATGCTATTTAAGTCTCTCTTCCTCTTAGGGAATGGAGCAGGGAAAGGTGGGTTTCCTGAAGTAGTCATTGCTATGGTCATAATCAGACCGTTTATCTGGACAGGACATTCCCTGAATTGGCCCCGTCAAGTCCAGGCAGAATAAGAAACTGCAATTTCATCAGCTTTCTAAAGTTAATAGCGCTGCTTTATAACTTACCGAAGTTAATGGGATACATTTTTAAAGCAGGATGCGATTCCCATCAATGTTAATGGGAGCCGTGTGGCCGAACCCCTCTGTATTACCTGAAAGTGCACTTCTGTGGCACCTCGCCATTCTACTGCGGGAATTGCTGCATTTATGTTGTCGGCGGTCTATTATTTACCTTTTCTTTGGAGAAATACTGAAGTGCAAAAAACACCAGTGAGATGGCTGAGACGTTCGCAAATCCGATCTAAATGAACTTCCACGTGGCTTTTGGATATGCTCTTTATTTCAAACTGCACAACGTCTATGGGATGCCAGAGTTCAAAGTGCCGCTTACCTTTATATCAGTAATTAACATCGCGCCCGTTGTTTTAGATGCCAACGTGGACGTCATCTACATCTGCTCCCATCACATGAATGACGAGTTAGTGCTATACTACAATAAAATCCTGAGTCTCCGTGCAGCTGTCCAACCGGGGAACCTCGAGGACAGAAGTGACCTGCAGCACAGGTTCAAAATTATCACCCCTGAAGCTGTAAACATCTTCACTGTGAGTTTGTCTTCTAATTACTACGGCTTCAGGGATGCAGTAAAATTAAATTGGAAATTTTATAACTTGCAACGCTCTGGTACACATCAGTGAAATATTATTGCGAGTGTAACAGCTTTACTGATTAGACTACTAGTTGGACTGTAGGAAATAAATACCCTAGTTTAACTTTCTGACGTAGTTGGGCTGTTTCTCTGTGGCCGAGGCCTAATTGCAGGTATCGGACGGTGCCGTCAAGTAGGTGAATTTACAACAGCTCCCATTCCTTTTTCTTATTTTTGTGTAGAGGACACCAAGGCAGAGAAAGGCTGGGCCTGCCCGTGGTCCCGAAGCTGGTCAGGGACAGGATCTAGATGAGGACCCCTGTTCAGTGATTTCCACATGGGTCTTCCTTGTTACTCCATGGTTTTATGGCTTCAGGAGAATTTAATCTGATTTATCATATCGCATGGTTCATAATGAACCAGGTAGAAATTTTTTAAATTGATACCAATTTTTAATGAGTGGAATGAATTTTCAGGGGAACCCCATCCCTGGACAAGAAGCTTCAAGAAATCCATGGAACCGTAAGGGCAGCATTCCAGAAAACGGCCGTACAAAAGAAGATTTGAAATGAATTTCTCTACATTTTAACAAGAAGTAAAACTCTCCATGTTAAACAACCAACATTTTAAAAAGAATGACTTATTTAATTTTATTTATTATTATTATTATTATTCACAACAGGGCATGTGTGTTCACCAGAGACAGAGAGAGAAAGAAAAGGAAAGTGAGAAAGCAAGCCACCAGGTCCGGGACTCAAACAGCTGTCAACTGTGTAGGGTCTAGCATCGTATCTACCATGCCACCTGCTGGGCCCAAACAACCAACATTTTAATACCTAATGGACTCTGCAATTTTGAGGAGACTTGGGGAGGAGGGTATGATTAGAGGCTCTAAACTTGCCAATAAAGTTAGCGTTCTCCATTTATAAGTGGGTGGCACCAAAGTCCAGTCTCTATTGCCAGAGAAACGGACTGTGTTCTACGTGAAAAGCACCTGTGTGTTGGGTTTCTACCCATTCAGGTGCCCCATGATTTGATGAAACAAAAGCTGGAGTGGGTGGAGTGTAATGGGACCTGAGAAGAGGCCTGGCAGGGCTGGGGAGGGCTGCAATCACATTTCTACTCTGCTGTCATACTCAGGGAATTGTCCCGAGGATTTACTCTGTCCCACCAAGAGCTGACTGACTAGACTTCTCAGTCTCCTCCAGACGCACTCTGCTCAGGTCTTGCCCATCCACACTGTGGGCTGTGGAAAAGGGAGGCGAGGGCAGGGGCGAGGGAAGCAAGAGGAGGGGAAGAGGATAAATGATTGACACTCACATTCTTGGGAAGCTTCCAGTATCTTCCCCCCATGCAAGAGTTTCTTTGGTGCTTCCCAGCTCTTCTCTGGCCTCAACTGCATGGTTACTATGGGAGCTAGGAGGGAAAAGAACCATCGTCAGTAGTTTCGGAGTTTCTCCAGCCAGAAACTTGAGCTAAGGCCTGCTAGCTGCCCATACAGTTTCTGCACATCTGAAATGTCCAGACACAGTAGAAAGTCATGGAATGGGGAAGGAGGCTTGGGGGGAGAAAAGTGAGCAAGCTAACATTTGAGAAATTCGCAGCTTGCGTCTTCTTCCACCCTAGAACAATGCAACACGACAGGAAGTATCGATCTCCCTTTACGGCTGAAGAAGACAAGACTCATTTTCTAGTCCAAGGTTACCAGTGCGGACCCAAACCTGTCTGCCCCAGAACACGATCAGGAACGGGAATACGGTCTTGCTCCTGCATGGCCTGTGTCCTTGGGCAAGCCCTTTCCCTCCCTGGCCTTCTGTTCTTCGCATATAGAATGGGGTGATGAATTAGATCATTTCAAAGTCATCTCCACCTCTGCGGTCCTGTTACCTGAGACGTATACCTCGCCCCTGTGACTTCTGGGAAGGAGCTAGGCAGGCAGCGCTTGCCGACGCACTGAGTCCCAGGCACGGTGTGGGTTTGCACACTCGTGAGCAGAAACAAGCAGAAAGGTTTGAAGTGCCCAGTGCTTGTCCTAGTGCTTAGGTTTAAATTATTTGAGTAATTAATCACTCGCAGGCAATCAACTTTGTACGATACAAAAATTAAACTCTCGCTTTCAAACCCGTTCCTGCTCACGTTTGGCTATTGCTTTATTCCTTTTTAATGTGAGAGACTGTGTTAGTGCTGGTTCTCACTCAAATGGATGGCTTTGGCTGTAAGAGACTGTATCAGTGCTGGTTCTCACTCAAATGGATGGCTTTGAGGAGCTTTTTTTTTTTAAAGCGTGCCAAAAATCTGTTTGTACATCTCTCCAAGTCACTAAACAGTGCTTGGATTTTATAAGAGCAAAACATGCGCTGATGAAAGTCACCGTGTCTACTTGTGAACATTTAATATTGACGAAGCCCTCCTAAACTTTCTCATACATCAGATTAAAAAAAAGTCAGTGGCGGTAAGGTAAGTGTGGCCAAAATGCAATGGGATTAGAAACATCTCAGATTCTTTGGTTACCTGTGTTAGTCCACTGCCTGGGTCTGCGGATGCCGATTTTCTCCAAATGGTCATTAGGGTGTCCTCTGCTGTCACTCCCTCACATGGGAGTCTTTATTAAACACATATTGAACACAACACTACGGTACCATATTGCCTCAAGAATAAGGCATTCCCACAGATGACTGTAATGTAGTCAGGTAAGTACTTGCTGATAGAAGTAAGCAAACCCATGGACCAGCAGGTGGTGTGGTGGTTAAGGCGCTTGATTCCACATAGCCGACTCTGCAGTTCGAATCCCAGACCCAGAAGCCTAAAAATCACCCAGGTGCCTGTGCGTGTGTGCTCAAAATCCTGAGAGGAGATTGGAAAAGAGGATATTGCAGAATGATCATCCCCCCGGGGATGATTTCTCGCTTCCTCTCTCTCTCTCTCTCTCTCTCTCTCTCTCTTTCTCTGGCAGGCACATGCTCCCTATGATAGACATATATATAGGCAAGAAATAGGCAAACCCAGAAGAGTCAAAAATCTATCTTGACATTTTCTTCATTTTTTTGTATGCTCAGAACATTAATGTTAGGTTCTGTGGCTGCTTATGCCACTCCCTCTCCACATGCATAAACCCACCAGACCTTCACTACTCAGTCTGTAAGATAGGGAAATTGTCTCAGCACTGGCATGCCGACTTTGCTGAGTAGGTTCAAATCCTGCCTCTGCTGTTTACTGGCTGACTGGGCAAATCTCTTGAGTCTCAACTGCCTCATCTCCTAAATATAAAATACCTAATCTGGAGGAAGGGCCCAATAAAGTAAATCATACAAATCCTCTTCTCAGAAGAGCTCGGTTTTTGCCTTTTGTGTTTTGGGTATGCATACGTGTGTGATAAAATATACTTACATAAACTTCACGATTATCACCACTTAGATGTACGGTCCAGGGCATTCAGAACACTCACGCTGTATAACCGTCATAGTAGCCATTCCCAGAGAGTCTCATCTTCCCAAGCAGAAGCTCTGTACCGCTAACCAAGAAGGACAGAGAGCTCTGGTTTTAAATAGAAATTTAGGAAGAACTCGAGAGGCTTCTGTTTCAACCTCTCATTTGAATATGGGGACCAGAGCTCAGAAAAGCCAAATTTTCTAGTAAGAAACCACCTAGGAAGTTACAAATTCAGGAAGTACTGAAACCCAGACTCTCCAGTCCCGTTCTCTTTCTCCCACAATCAGGAGCTATTGTATTCGTTCACAGTTTGCAAACTGGTGTAGCTGACATTCCTGGAAGCAATCTCTTGGCATTTCTCCACATTTTTATGTGGCGTTGAGTAGATCGTTTTTCCTAGAATTGGAGGAATGGATGCTAGTCTATAAAATTCATCCTCCCTTGAGACTCTAGTACCTTTGTTATTATATTACTTTCAGGACATTTGAATGACTTCATTTTTCAAAGACAGTTTTCTTTCGGGCTGGATCCATGGTCTGGTATTTATGGGAGTCAGATCCCACATGGCCAACTGCCTGGTTTGAATTCCAGTCCTGGAAGCTTGAAAAACATGCCAGGTACATGTGTGTACATGCTCCAAATACTGACAGGATGAAAAACCGGAAGAGAAGGGACCCCTTTCCTGGGGGGTGCTTTCTCCCTCTCTTTCTTGCTTTGTCTCCCTGTCTCTTTTGGTGAACACACATACCTTCTGGAGGGAAAAAAAAAAAAGAGACAGCTTGTTCTGTAAAAAAGTTACTACCACTTACAGAGTATTGGCAACACTATGCCTTATACCAGGTGCCTTAAACCTGTGAGCTTACGTTTGCCTTAGAGCAACCCGCCAAATGGGTATTTTTATTTCCCCTCAACAGAGGAAGAATCTTAGGCTCAGAGACTCCAAGTCACTCAGCCAAGTCCAGGAAACTCAAATGATAGAGCTGGATTCAAAGCCAGGGCTGTTTGACTCCTAGGCCCAGCCCTTCCCTATGTGCAATGATGCCTGCTTCTCTAGAGGATTTGAAAACATCCTTGGGTTCTTCTCTTCCATCCTCAGACAATGTCTTAGCCATACCCACCTTCACCTGAAGAAATTCTGCCTGTTCTTCAAAATTCACTGCAACCCCACCCCTCCTGGCTAACCACGCTGATTATGTCCGAGGTGCGACTTTCAGGACCTTCCCTGCACTGTCCCACCTGATCTGCACGGCACCTGTGTGAACTGAGTGCCGTTGTGCTCATTGTACCGATGGAACCCGAGGCTCCAGAGAGTGAGGAGTTTGCCTTCCTGGCTCTCTGGCAGCACGTGGCCCCTGCCTTTGTCCCATGCTCACAGGTGCTCTGGGACTCCTCACAGCACGTACCCGGCTTGTCTGAGTTACGCTTTACCCGCTGTCCTCCATGTCTCCACCCTTGGAAGCAAGAATGGGTCGTATTAGTTTTGGAGTAGAGTGACCCTGTGCCTTGTGCCCTCTACCCCATTAGACACAGACATGTCATAATTATTTCATTGAAGGACAGAGTCATTGGTATTTCTGAGCTGGATCTAACTAGTCAAAAATAAAATATAAAGAGTTTTCCATTGGAAAATGAATTTGAATCTTGCTGAAATTTTCAAAACTTTCCACTCACAACTCCTTTCCCGAGTTGCTGGTTAGAACCACGGAAGTCACTATAAAAGTGCACCTTCTCTGAAGCGGACGTGGTGGAAGAATTTCAGAAGGAGGGTACCCGGTCAAGTGCCGTTTTGCTACCAAAGCAATTGAAGAGCTGCCAGGTTAGAAACTGTATCGTGAAGAATACTATGGGGCTTTTTTCTTCATTTTTCGGTATTGATTTTCCAGGCGCTTTAGTGTTAAACCACGCCAGGAGTGTTGCAGAGATGAATCACCATTATCCAAAGGCCGCCAGCCTCTCCTCCTTCTGACAGAAGGATAATTCCACGTGGATCCAATAAATACAGATGTGTAGTAATTAGTTCTATTCCCAGTGAGCCTATTTCCAACACACTAAAGATGTGAGCGATTATGGAACCTCACCCCAACAGCTTTTATCAATTTAAACTGCTAAACAACAGGCTAGGTCATAACCCAGCCTGCTATTAATAATGTATTTATTATGTGCAACATTATAAATTAGGTGTACAGACTAGAAAATGGACGCCTTTTAACAAGAATAACGTGATCTTCCCCAGAAGCATCGCATGTGCCTAGCCACTCTGCTGATGTACAGTCCCAAGGCCATCAAAAGGATAAAAAATCTCATCCAAGGAAGACAGGCCTACATCGTCAGCGGGCTCCTCCACGCGGATGACTTGGCTGTGGCCGACATGTTAAACATCCCCATCCTGGGCTCAGAGCCTGAACTAGCTCATCTTTATAGTACCAAGTCCGGAAGTAAGCGCGTCTTTGAAAGCGCCAGGGTGCCAACCCCTCCTGGAATATGCGGCCTCTACAGTCAGCAACAGGTAGGTGGCGGGGGCCAATGGGTGAGGCATGGTGCAAGTGTTTCCTCTTGACCGTGTGCAGCTTCAGGTCTTCAGAGCCAACCCACCCCGTGGAGAACATGTGGAATACTGGAGTTGCTTTGAGGGGATCTGCTTTGGGTTTTAAAGTAGAGGAGCGAGCAGGTGACATGGCAGTTGGGTCACTGGACTCCCACATGGCCGACTGTGGTTTGAGCTAGGACCCAGTATCTTGCTTTCTCACTTTCCTTCTCTCTCTCACTCTCTCTCTCTGCCACTCTCTGGTGAGCACATGTGCCCTATAGTAAATTTTTTAAAAAATAATAGTACTAATAATAAATAAAGTTAAATTTTTAAAAAGCATCTTCCCATTGGTCTTGCAGAAATTGCTGCAATTTCCAGTGTTTACGCTTTTGGATTAAGACATTGAAGACACTTTCAAAATTTACATATTATGGGACCAGCATTGGCGTAATGGCTATGTCGCTGGACTCCCATGTAGTTGACCGCGGTTTGAGTCCCAGACCTGGTGGCTTAAACTCATGCTGGGCACATGGGTGTGCGTGCGCAAGATGCTGAGAGGAAAATGGAGGAGAAGGGATTGCAGCATGGCCATCCCCCCTGGGGGGTGATTTCTCACTTTCTATCTCTCTTTCTGTCTCTGTCTTTATGATGAGCACACCTGCTCTATAGCAAAAACCTCTTAAAAAAACAAAATTTACATATCATTTGGAATAATCTGCCATCAATTCTTGGTACTTTAACATGGATTATTATCTTCTCAGCTGGCTGTTTAGTAGGACCATGAGAAATATGACCATCAGGGAACCAGCAGTTAGCGTAATGGCTATGTCGCTGGACTCCCACGTGGTTGACCGCGGTTCGCGTTCCGGACCCAGTGGCTTAAAACTCACGCCGGGTGCGTGTGCGTGCGTGCCCAAGATCCCGAGAGGAGAATAGAGGAGAAGGGATTGCGGCGTGACCATCCCCCCTGGGGGGGTGATTTCTCGCTTTCTGTCTCTAATGTCTCTCTCTGTCTGGCGAGTGCACGCGCCCTATAGTGAAAATCTCTCCAAAAAAAAAAAAAAAAAGAAATATGACCATCAGCTTTGGCTACAAGAAGCAGGTTTGGAAAGCTCCAGAGAGTAAGCCTCTCCCCTGGGTCAGTTGCTGCGGGTTGGGCACATCCTTGGCTTTCTGGTTGGCACCATAAAAGATATTTTGGTTCCTTGGGAAGGGATGAAGGACCCTAAAGCAGGGAGGGGAGAGAGCTCAGAGCATAAAGTGGCTCCAGGAGTAAAACTCTGGTTGAGTCTTGGACCAGGTCTGTGGTTGTGCACACTTCCAGAAGGCAATTAGGGCCCAACACATTTGGGGAACTGTATCAGCCACTAGAGACATTTTCTCTTTCAGTTAGCTCTGCAGGTGTTCTCCCATTTAACTGCCATCTGTTTTTTATAATAAAGAAAAATTAAAAAGACAAACAGCTGATAACGTTTCCTGACCCCCCCCCCTTCAGTACATCTCTTGACCATTACTCTCAGCTGACCACTAATTATCCCCCCCCACACACTTGTCAGGAAATTCAAGAACCTCACGCAATGAGTGTATCGAGGGGACCATTTTATGGCTGCCCCTTCTACTTTCTGTCACCCGGTAGTGATGCTCTGCACCTCATTGGCCCTGAGCCCCCAAGTTAGGGTTTTAAGAAATCGTACTTTGCAGAGACTAGTTTGAAGGTATCACTAGTTTATTAAATTGCCCTGAAGTGTTCAGTCTTCACAGAGTGTCCTTGGGCAGTATGCGGGCTCATACAGGAAGCTGCTCTTAAAGGTAGCAGGGTCTGGAAAAGGCTCGGGCCATTTTGTATTGGGTCTTCAGAAAAGTCATGAAGCAGTTTTGCATAGAAAAATCGAAAACTACGTCACAATTTTTCTGACGAAGTGGGACAGAGACCTGAGCTGGTATGTTCCCTTCTACTGTCATTAGCCTCCATGGGAATTTGAATACACTGAGGCCGACTACGTGAATCTGCTTCCCAGCGGAATGTTTGGTTGATAGACTTAATACAAGTGGAATACATTTTTAAATGAAACAGTTTCACGTGTTGCATAAACAGGCTTCAGAACTGTAAGAGGTATGGGCAATGAAATAGACCGTGAAGCATTTTAGAACTTCATACATTGTGTTTAAAGATACAGACCCATTGAGTGCAGAAAAGCCCCTGACGTACTAGTGTCCAGAAAACTAAAACCCTGCAAGGAACCAGACGGTGGCACAGTGGTAAGTCTGCCAGGCTGACCCACATGAAGAGGTTGCAGGTTCTGAGTCTGCTTCCAGAGACTCCTTTGAATGTGCAGGATCACTGTGCCCAGGATCCAGGGGTTGGCCGAGGCTGGGGCGGATCGCAGCACGAAGACCCTATTGGGTGTACCTGTTTCTTTGTCTCTGTTTTGCTATCTCTTTTGCTTATGAAAGAAAGAAATAAACATAAAAAGACCTCATAGAGGTTAGCAGATGGTGTGCTAGTTAAGGTGCTGGACTGCCACATAGCTAACTACGGTTCGAGTCCTGGACCTGGTGGCTTGAAAATCACGCTGGGTGCATGTGCATGCCCAAAATCCTGAGAGGAGAATGGAGGAGAAGGGATTGAGTACACTAGGGAGGGTGCTTGCTCACTTTCCCTCTCTCTTACTCTTGCCCTGGTGAGTCCACACACCCTATGGCAAATAAATAAATAAATAAATGGTCTCATAGATACACCACATATGGGTCATGTCATTTGACCTGTGGTATATGCAAATTACATAACGACCAACCAAGTTTTAGCTGAGTTCTACTCTACTTGTCTGGAAAACATACGTCAAAGCTCATCAGAAAAGGAAGTGCTCTGTGAGATTTTCCAGGTGGTCGCTGCTGAGCCTAATCTACCTGAGCCTGGCAGCACCTGAATCCACAGATGGTGATGAGTCAGTGACGCTGCCTTCTTACCGAGGTGCATCATCAACCTAGAGCTGGAAAAAGAGTCGTGACGGTTCTCACTTCAGTTACTGCGCACTCCCATCAGTTGCATTTCAGCAGTAGCCTTTGTCCTTCTTCTCTCTACCACTATAGAATGAATCACAGTGAAAAAATATGTCACAGGTTTTGAACAAATAAACTCAAACAGGAAATGATACATGTTTGGAAATAGCATAAAGTCACTTGGCTGATGACTGGCTAGTTGTTTGTTTGTTCGTTTTTAACCTAGCACGAATACAGTGAGCACTTCCTGTTCTGATCCATGAAGGAACTGCGTGAGTTCTCTTTCTGGCATGAAAGAGAACTCCGTATGAAATATTGACAGCTTTGGTTAAATAATCAAAAATAGCAATGCTGTTTTAAAGCACTGTTCAATTTTCACTTAAAGATGGCACATAATTCTTTCCAGTGGCGCAGTCTTTACAATACTATTGATCCTTTTCATTACTGTAGGCGATCCATCAACAGACGCCCATTTATAGGATTCTCAGGACCACAAATAAAAGGACTTGGAAGAGACAGATGATAATTCTGTTAGCAGCTGAAACCCCCAAATATGCAGTACATCCAGATATACAGTAAAAAAGGCAATGCCGGAACACCTTTCCTTACACTAGCAAAAGAATCACATCTGATGTGAACAGGCCAAAGACCAGTTCACTTCTGCAAAGTGTGATCTTGATACAGCAAAACTGTGATAAATACAGAATCTACGTTCTCAGCACATTAAAGAAAGGAGGGATGTAGCTTGGAAGGCACATTAAAGTAAATCTCCTGGGGGCCAGCAGATGGCATGGTGGTTAAGGTGCTGGAGTCCAACATAACAGACCATGGTTCAAGTCCTGGTCCTGGCGGCTTGAAAATCGCACTGGGTGCAAGTGCACACATGCCCAAAATCGCAGGGGAGATTGAGAAGCAATTGTGGTGTGGCCAATCCCTAAGGGGATGATTTCTTGCTTTCCTTCTCTCTGTCTCCCTCTGACCAGTGGTTGTGCCTTATGGCAAAAACCTGAAAGAAAGAAAGGAAGAAAGAAAGAGAGAGAGAGAGAGAGAGAGAGGGAGGGAAGGAAGGAAGGAAGGAAGGAAGGAAGGAAGGAAGGAAGGAAGGAAGAAAAACACCTGCCTAGGCTGTTCTTCAGCACCATGTGGAGTGTTGACTAGACTGTCATTCAAATACCCAGACTACCACTTGGTAACTAGAGAGCTAAGACCATTTCATTTCTACCCTAACTGAGCGCTCAGAGTTGCACGGGTTTTCCAGAGACCCCACGTGTATCCCTTCTCATATCCTATCTCCTCCACGCTGTCGTGCAGTGCCATTTCCCCAGGAAGATCTGCTGGATAGACCCAATTCAAGAACAGATCGTACCTTCATCAAAATGCTCGTCATCTGCCAACTATCCATCTTGATTCCTTTCACAGCTTTTAGTTTAAAAACATAATATATTTGGTGGGCAAACAATTCATCAAATACGAGAGTGAGAGTGTCGCAGAGCCCCTCTGGAGTACAGGAGACTTAGCCGAGAACGGCGTGGGTAGGCCCAGCTCACTGGAATAACTTGCTCCCGGTCACACAGCGCGAGTGGGAGAGCAAGGGCCCCACCTCGGCCGCTCATCCCCTCTGCGCTGTGTGCCTGTCCTCGGGGATGGAGCGCAGTGATGGCTCGTTGCTCTCTGGGAAGTACAGACTGGGAAGTCTGAGGAGAAGACAAGACCAAAACAATCATTTTGTGATCGAATGAGTTTTGTTTTGTTTTGTTTTATTTTGTTTTTCCAAGGCTCTAGTAAGACAGTGTTACGTATAATTAAGTAATCTTGCTATAGACTTTAGACTTTGGTCTGATTCAGACTCACCCCAGTTGACCTGTTGACCATAAGGGAAGTTCCTTCTCTCGCTCCTCTTCCGACTTTTTCCTCCGCCTCTTCCTGAGCCTCCTCTCTGCAGGCTGGGGTGTGCACACAGTGGAGATGGAATGAGCCCTGGGCTTAGCATCAGAGCAACCTAGGGGGTCTTTGCTCTTCTGCTCAATGCTGTGTGATCGTGAGCAGGTGACTGAAGTGAGCCGAGTCCCAGTCTCCTTCTGTACAGAACAGAGCTAACCGTTGTGCCTGCCTCGCAGGTGATGGTGAGTACCCGGTGAGAACACCCACGCAAAGACCTCCCGTGAGCCAAAGGCCTGCTTCCCGCTGGGTTTCAGTAATGTGGCTGTCATCGTTATTTGGGTATGAGAACTTGGGTCACTCTTCTAGCCTTTAAACTTCCGTGTGTTTGAGCAGTTTTTGAGGAAAGGTTGTTCAAATAAAATGCACACTTGGTGCATATTTAGGAGGGTTACTTCCATGGGTGTTTTACCTCCCTCATCTGTCTTGTTCTGTAATCCTCTTTTTTAAAAGAATTAATTTTATTTATTATTATTATTGTTTAATTTGTTATAGTGCATGTGTGCTTACCAGAGAGAGACAGAGGGAAAATGAGGAAGCAAGCCGCCAGGTCCAGGGTTTGAACAGCAGTCGGTTATGTGGGAGTTCAATACCTGAACCACCATGCCACCTGCTGGCCCCAGTACTCTTGTTTTTAATCATACATATATAATAAATGTGGCCAGTTGACCAGCCAATCAAATGTATTTCATGTATGTTAATGACGGGAAAACGGAATGTTTTATTGGTTATAACTATTTTTTTTTTTTTTTTAGATTGCTATAGAGTACAAGTGCTTGCCGAAGAGACAGAGAGACAGGGAGAGGGAAAGCGAGAAATCACCCCCCCAGGGGAGGGATGGCTACACTACAATCCCTTCTCCTCATTCTCCTCTCAGGATTTTGGGCTTGCACGCACACATGCCCAGTGTGTTTTTCAACCTGCCGGGTCGAGGACTCAAACCTTGCAGTCTGCCATGTGGGATCCAGTTGCTTTAACTTCTGTGCTGCCTTCTGGCCCCCTCTAGGCTATATCATGTAAAAGCTCAATGCTGTGAACAGGTAAAGTTTTCAAGACTATAATAACTCTTTACAGCCTTGAAAAAAAAAAATCATTTGAGGAATCAATAAGTAATTGCATAATTCTCTGAAAAAGAAAACAATACCAAGATTCAATTGCTGACATTCAAGATTCTTTTGCTTTTGAAATCCAGCAATATGGTCATGTTGGGATTTCTCATAAATAAGACAGTACTTAGAGCCATGCCTTTGATTTCATTGGTTAATGGTTTCTCCGTGTTCCATACACATCACTTAGAGCTTCTTTGTCTTAATGACAAGAAGAGAACTGAATGAGCAGGCCATCCGGAATAAAGACACACGAGCACTACAACACACATCCGGCACGCTGAAACGGAGTCCCGGGAAGGTGGCCATACTAAGTGTGACTTGTCTCGGGCCCTGCAGATGATCGAGCAACTGAGCCAGCTGGTGGTCGACCACCTGCAGATCCAGCGCTGGCTCTTTAAAATGGACAACGAGTTCGGAGGCAACGGGACCGCCTTCTGTGACATCCCTTCCCACCTAAGTTGCTACAAGTGGGTGCTAAAGGAGAGCAACAGATACGGCCATGAAGACTGGAGCAAGAAGTGGGCACACGTGAGTGTTCAAGGGGGCCGTACCCCCAGTGTCTGTGAGCAGAGGGCTGTGCTCGGAGATGGACGTACAGTACTTTTTTTCTTTATTTTTATTTGCCAGTGGGCACATATATTGCCTGGAAAAGAAAGACGGGGAAAGAACTCCCCAAGGGGGCATGGTCATGCCACAGTCTCTTCATGTCTATTTCTCCATCTTGTCAGGATTGGGGGCATGCACCCAGTGTGTTCTTCAAGCTGCTGGGGCTGGGACTTGAACCAGGGTCGGCCATGTGGAATCCAGCTCCCTTAACTACCATCCCATGGGGCTGGCCCATACAGTGCTTTTTTCTAGACTGACTTCCGTCACCTTCTAGCAGTGTCTTTTTTGAGCCTTAGACCTTATTATATACAAAATTAATGGGATTGATTAGGCTTTTTAAAAATGTCCTTTCTTTGAGCCCTAAAAGTCTCATTTACATTGTCAAATTGATTATGATAATTAGAAAGTAATTTGTAAAATTCTATTCAGATAGCATTACAAATATCCTCATTTGCCCTAAGTGGGTCTTGATCATGTGCTTCTAGCAACTGTTTTTATTAAGCTTGCTGTGTTTTCTAATGAGACAGAAATTCTATTAGTGAATGGTTGTCACCTGGAAGCCAATACATAATAGCATTCTGTCAGTAGTCATATGTTTTCAAAGGCAATTCAAGGAAATTTATGTAACTGCTGGTCCCTGTGAGAGGCTGAGAAAATAGCATATCCTGGCCAGAAAATCTCCCAGCAGGTAAAAAGCCGTGGCATATGAGTAGACACGTATGGATTCTTTTTCCCACATGGATTGGTCAGAGGGCTGAGTTGTATAACCTCTTGGTTCATTAGAAATTTGCTAAATAATTAATGTAATTTTATATGGATTTTATATATAAATTAGACCCACTATTCTAAATGCTCCCCTGCTTTGCATACAGAGCCCTAGGCCAGCCTGACTGTCCTTGATCCCAGATCTCAGTTTTGGCTGACCTGCTGGTGAAGGCGTAATGAAGTACGGATTAGGAACATCCAGGCACGAGTCCCGGAACCGGTTCCTTTCCTGCCAGCGCTCATAGCAGTGGTGGTGCAAAGTGATTTGCATCTGCTTTGAGCATCCCACTACGGAAGTGTATGAATCAGGACGCAAGTGAGAGAGGAGGGGCTCGCTCAGGGGAACGGCATCATTCTCGGGGAGTGAAATGGGGATAAATCTAGAGAACAGTCAGGAGCGAGAGTTCCCCTGACAAATGCGAGTCTTCCCCCCATCCATTCTGGGCTCCCCCTCCATCAGTAGATGGACTAAATGCAGAACCTGCCACGGTCCGCTTTTTACATATTATTTAAAGGATACCAAAGTGAATTACTCTTCTAGAAAAAAAACTAAAACAAAAATGTATTTAATTTTGAGTCCCATAGAGATTTTCCTTATGCTTTCTTTGAACTGGCTTTTATTTCCTATTGTATAGAGTATTTTTTTTAAAGAACAACTGTTGAGTCTAAATCATGAAAAAGCATGACTTTTATATTTAAAAGATTGAAATGTTTGTGTGCATAGTGTTTGCTGGTTTCAATATTTCAAATCAATAATTTTTAAAGAATTCCCCTGACACTAGGCTATACTAAATTTGAAATGTTTGACTTTAGGTTTAAAAAATATTTAAACAGGCCAGCAAGTGGCGTAGTAGTTAAGGTTGCTGGACTCCCACATGACCAATTGCAGTTCAAGTCCTATACCTGGTGGCTTGATTTCTCACTCCCCTCCCTGCCCCCCACCATCAAATTAAAAAATAATAAAAATAATAATAAGTTAAATGAAATTGTTTAAAAATAGTTAAAATACTGATGTTTTGCTGAATCGTGTTTATAAGTCTCACTATACATTATTTAATTTCAATTCTTTTAAACTGTATCATTTTAAATTGTCATCAAATTTGGCCACAGATGTTAGTGTTATTAAATGTGAAATACTTTAATAATTAATAGTCTATGTAAGTCACTTTTAATTTTCTGAAATATTTTTATCACATTTGCTACTTACAGTTTTTTTTGTTTATTTTTTGTCAAAGAGTATGTAAATTCTCTAGAGAGAGACAGAAAGAGCGAGAGAAAGTGAGAAAGCATCCCCCCCGGGGTATGGTCATGCCACAAGCCTTCCTACTTCATTTCTCCCTCCTCTCAGGATTTGGGGCATACAAACACACACGCTTGGCATGTCTCTCAAGCTACTGGGTCTGGGACTTGAACCATATACCATCGGCTATGTGGGATCCAGCTGCCCTAACCACCACACTACAGGCTAGCTCAGTCATTTTTAAAACTTAACAAAGGAAAAATAATCATTCAGAAATCTTATTAGATCTGAAGCCCATGCTTAGCCATGATGCATGGGGCCAAAAATAAATAAATAAATAAAACAGTCTGGAAAGCTTATTTTTAAATTTAGTTTTATTTTTTAGGAGAAGACTGATATTCTTTTGCCTTCAAAGTGAAATCGTATGCTGAGTGGAGGGAACTGCGATCTCATTGAGTGTAGCAATTGAGAAATCAGGATTAGAATCCTCCTTTGTTCCAGAAACCACAGTAATGGTGTGCACTTAGACATCAAAGCATTACTTTATGAGCACAGGCATGTTTTAATGTCCTCTTACAGTCTGCAGACCTGTTCCTTTTGATAATGAAGATGTTGTATCATCAAGTCTAGCCTGGCACATACAAAACATATGCTGGCAGGTTATTAAAAATTTCAGCTTCTTGATGAAAGACTATCCTGCAGGCTAAGAGTCCAGAGAAAGACTCCATTCTGGGAGAATTATTAGAAATGAGAATATGACTGTAAGCACTAAATTATGTTAATACTTACAAACAGCATCATTTGCATAGCGCTTTATGACACGATAGCATGATTTTTCTCATTGGTATGTTGTAGGCAACAGATTAAAACTGTGCTGTTTATGGGAGTCTGAACTGTTTTGAAATTCTCTTGTCTTATGCAGATATTGGTTTTAGATATAGTCTGGTTTCAGTGTAGGCTGATACTAGATCTTTCTCTAATAAATAAATAAAGGTCATCTTTGTCCTTGTATCTAATTTAGAACCAGAGTTATTTGGCTAGTTGCAGTTGAGCCTTGAAACCAAGTCATGGGGTCAACAGATGCTGCAAAGCTGTGGTCACATTTTAAAAATCAGTGTAGACACGTAGGCAGTTTGAGGACAAGCAGGGTGTTAAAAATGGTGGGCCTAGGGCCAATAGGTGGCGTGATGGTTAAGGGCTGGACTCCCTCATGGCCAACTGTGGTTCGAGTCTCACACCTGATGGCTTGCTTTCTCTTTCTCTCTCTCTCTCTCTCCCCCTGTCTCCCTACTGAACACACATGCCCTATAGAAAATTTTTAAATAATAATAAATAAAATAAAATAATTCTTTAAAAAATGATAAGTCCAATGAAAATAGAGCATGCCTCTCTTTCATTTTCTCTTGGTGGCTTCATACTAAGACTTCTCTTCATCCCACCAGCTAACCAAACCTGCTCCCCGCAACAGGTCACAGTTAACTCATTCCCTCAGGTATTCGATGCTTGTTAGGGTTTAATGAATCCACACACTTGTACACACTCCAGGTTCCCCACTTCCCGGTTTTGATATCTTAATTTAGTAGAAATAAAGGCTAAAACAAAGGCAGGGGGACCAGCAGTTAGCGTAATGGCTATGTTGCTGGACTCCCATGTAGTCGACCGTGGTTCACATCCCGGACCCGGTGGCTTAAAACTCACGCCGGGCGGTTGTGCGTGTGTGCCCAAGATCCCAAGAGGAGAACGGAGAAAGGATTGCAGTGTGGCCATCCCCCCTCGGGTTATTTCTCGCTTTCTGTCTCCCTCTATCTGGTGAGCGCACATGCCCTATAGCAAAAACTTCTCTAAAAAAAAAAAAAAAAAAAATTGCAGGCACATTTGTAGGACAGAAACCTTTGGGGGCACACTCACCCAAGAAGGTCTAGGGAGACCCAGGTAGACATTTACTGCAGTACTGGTCCTTTTTGGGCTTGTTTCTTTTTTAAAGGGGTAAGTCTTCCCTCCCTCAATTCCTAGGACATTGATACGATGGCGGCGGTACCTGTGGTGTTGCTGCTTTGCAAGGGAAGATCTTTGCAGAGCAGCCCCTCTGTGTAAGGACGTTCCTTTCGGGTTTCTCTGTGCAACCCCTTTTGGGCCTCTGTTACTCTGGGGAGTCTGGGCTGTGGAGGTCATGGCACCACTATTACCACTTAAGGAGAAAAAGGAAATTGAACTGGTTCTTGTTGACTACTGCTGTTAAATATTACTGTTTTAGTCCTTTGCAAGAGCAGTTTTACATTTATCTGTACTTTGGTTTATTTTGTTAGACATTTGATACTAATTTGAGGATTATCAAAGGGAGAGGAACTAATCCAAGGAACCCAACCTAGAAAAGGTAGAATGAAACCACAGCCGTTGTTTCATCTCCTTTGGAACTAAGTGAGCAAACAAAATATGCTCTTTACAGAAAAGACTATCAACCAACCAGGGCCTGAGAACTCTCTCACCTCCACCTCCATGTCTGTTGTGAGGCCCTTCGTCCGTTCAGAAAGGCCTTGTAACTAAAGCGTAGGAGCCAACGCAAGAAGACTGAGCTTGGCGCCTGGCGTAGAACTTAGTAGATGACCCCGAAGTGCTATTGCCTTGTAATCACATAATTTTTTTAAAGTTAAAATAAAATAAACCAAGATTAAAGAAATATTTAGCCCAATAAGTGCACAATCACTTATTTTGAACAGTTGTTTTCTTTCTTTCTTTTTTTTTTTTTTTTTTTTAGAAATGTTTGGTAAAGGGACGTACACTCCCCAGAGAGGCAGAGAGACAAAAAGCAAGAAATCATCTCCTGGGGGGATGGCCACACACTGCAATCCCTTTTTCTCCATTGTCCTCTCGGGATTTTGGGCATGTGGACACATATGTGCCCAGCATGAGTATTTTT